CTTAATTTATCCCTCTGGAAATTCTAAATTAATTTGCCTATATATAAAGGAGTATCTTAAAATTTCAAAATACAGATTTTATTTTGAAATGGGTTTTGAATTAAGAAAATTCCATTTAATTTAAAGGCTCATCAAATTCTAAAATAAAAGACAACAAATATAAATGTAATAATAATATTAGTACTGTTTCTTTATACTCCACCTTCTCTTTCTATAAAAGTGTATATTTAGCATACTGTATATCATGAGACATATACCAGGAATGATTATCATTAGACATTTGACAGAAACAAAGGGAAAAAATCTAAAGAACAGGCAGTTTACCTGAAGCTTCATTATGTAAGTACTAAGGCACTACTATATCTGAAGTATGAATATTAAACCACTATAAATTTCTTTCAGAAGCAGCAATTAGTATGTGATCCTTCAAATCCTAGTCACAATTGGGCCTACTGTAATTTAGTAGTATCAGTAGTATAATTTTTTTATCATTATTATTGTTATTATTTTTGACAGAATTTAAGTTAAAAAATCTTTATCCTACAACATAAAAAATCTACATAAAATAAAAATGCTTGAGATAAAGATTAACTTTTCTTACTTTGTGAACATTCATTGAAGAATTAGTAATTTGAAAATGTGTAAATTTACAACAGTACTGTCAAAACATCTAGTAAAACAACTATTTCTAGGGCTATAATTCTTTCCTAAATCAATATAATAATAAATGTATTTTGTATTCCACACCAAATTGTATTTTAGGAATTATGCATTAGCTAACTGCTATTTTATCTTCTGAATGAGTTAGAATTTCCAGAAGGATAAATTTGAGCAGAAATTTCTATATGTAAGCAGCATATAAAAAAGTAGAATGATTCCTATTCTAACAAAGAATTGCTCTCCATTTCTTCAAACAAAAATATTTAAAACTGCTTTTCCAATTAGAGAAGATATTATTTTTATGAAAACTCAAGAAATAATATTTAGAGCATTTATAAATGTTTATCCTACAGGATCAATAATATGAATAACCTCCTATATAACACAAACACGCAATCCTTGAAAAATAGCTCTATATTAAACATATCTGTATTTTAAAGAGGTCAAATTCAAACTCTTACAGGGAAGAAGGAAACAAGGAAAGCAGACGATTTTCAACAGAAAAACTATTTTCCAAGCATGTTAAAATTCAGGTTTCTACTCTTCTTTTCCTTGGGAATAAGGTTTTGTTTCATGGATATTTGAAGTTGCAATGTTAATATTAGATGAATTCTAATAGAATGCACATTTGATCTCCATAGCATTGAATGTCAGTAATAACTTGAATAAATACCATATACATACCAAGGTCTGTTAAATTCTGCTAGAGTTTATTAAAATGGGCATCTGTCTTTAAAAATCTGTTTCCCTTTTAGAACACTGCATTTCTATCCTTAATTTATTATTAAAATATGAGTAGAAGTCACTGCCATTACATAAAATGCAAACTGATCCAAAACACTGCATATATTTGTTTATAGTACAAGCCCATGAAAAGGTTCCTTCTCAATTTTCTAAACTAATAACCAGCTTGAAAAGCTCCTAAAGCACAACTGCTTACATAATCAGTAATTACGTGCACAATCTGCTCTTCAAATTCATTATTTTTGGTTTCTTATTGCCAAAAAACCCATTTGACACTGGAAAAGCTATGGACAGAAAATCACCTTGTACACATTATTTTACATATTCTTCAAAATAAAACAAAAACCCTCATCTCGCAAATTATAACAGTTGTTTTTTTTTTCTCATTCAAACAAAGAATATGTTATGGGCAGCTGAAAAAAAAAAACCCCAAACAAATTGTTCCAATAGAGCAAAACACTATTCTGCAAATATTTTGGTTTGTAGGTTTAGTTGCATATCACTTCTGAGACAAATTTAATACTGGAGATGATTTTCCCCCAAATTACCAGGAAGTCAGAACTATTGGGTCAAATAATGAGACAAGGAACAGTAACAGCACCACATTAAGACCAAGAAACAATGGGTTGAGCATTCTTTATTGGGAATTTCTAAATTCGAAATGCTTCAAAACATGGGTGCCTGACATAGTGACAGCTTTGTTTTCTAATGGTTAAATATATTGTTGTTGTTGTTGTTGTTGTTTATGTTTATATATCATTTTTTTCTCTCCACAATACGACTCAAACTCAAGAGCGTGGATAAGGATCTCTCTTAGATGCTTGCTACTGGCAACTTGTTGACACCAAAAATTGACTCAAAGTAGACTGGCCCATTTGTTCAATCTTTAGGTGTATAAGGGACTGGAGAGGATTTCCTATCCTTCAAAAGAAGCAACTGGGAATCAGTATTACCAAAACTGGGAATCAGTGTAATACTTGGATCAGTTGGAAGCCAAGGGAAATTGTTTGTCAACCCTTACTCCCGCTGCACTTGCTATCACTACCTTAGTAAGAGACAAAGGAGAAACCATCACCAGCCACCTGCATCTAAATGACTAAAAGATAGGAGCAACATGAGGTATTGGGAAAGGTAAATGGGGAGTTATGTTCTGGCCACACTCTGACCGCAAAATTGGCAATTAGCATACAACAAGAAAAAGAGAAAATCTGTTGTTCCCATTGACAGTGAAAATGATCTGCGTTTTATTTGTTACTTTGGGTGATTTTTAATTTTTTACTAGTACCTTATTACAAATTATTGTTAAAATGAATGCCTACATTTCTTGGGGGGCGGGGTGGATAGAACCAAGGATTCATCAGATAGAATATAGGGCTGGACATACCAACAACTGTTTTTGTGCAATGAAGGGAAAAAATAAAGTTCAGATGAAAGGGAGGGGGACACCATCAAAGGGATAAAAGCCAAAAAAGCAATGAGAGAAAGGAAGTAAAATCTTTGATTCAAGGAAAGCTATGTTAAAGATATGTGTACAGACTTCCATTTTAGCTTGCCTTGATCATAGTACAAGTCAATGTGTGTTATTACTTATATTACGTCAATTAACAGGGACTTATTTGCAATCATCCGTTTTATCCTGGAAGGAAATACCAACTCGGTTCATGTGTCCAAGCCCAATTTGGTCAAAGGAGGAGATGTTGATCCCTCCCCAATATGCCCATAAGACTAAAATGTACAGGAAAAACCTTGGCTTGTAGCTAAGAAGACAGGCAGTCTTGTTCTATAACAGGAGTGAGCAATTGCTGGAGGTCTATGGTTGTTCTGAACCTCCCAGGGCCATACCTTCATGTCATCACTGTACTTCCAAATTCTGGCAGTGTTTTGACTTTTTTAAAGATGTGCAATTTTACTTTAAACTACAGAGTCTCCACAGTGTCAGGCCTTAACCAAAATTGCTCCCAAGCCTCATCAATGTTTCAAATGGTGAACAATGAGTCCCAACCAAATCCAAAACACTGGACGCCGAGGAATGGTTCACTGTAAAGGATTCAAAACCTTTATGTTGGAGAAATTTTCCAAATGTACTGAACTGGATGTAATGGTTTGAACAAGAGCATGAATGCACTCACTGCATTATCTTATTTGAATGTATTTATACCCTGTCTTTTCCCTATAATTGAAGACAGTTCACAACAAAATTATTTTTAAAGTACACATAAAAACATAAAACGTATAATATTAATATACAAATTATATTATCCAAATGGATTGAAAGTGATTAGAAACATAGCAATAAAATGCATGGCAACTGTTAAAAGTCACTTGCTCAACCACCAAAAAACAGCAAAACAAACAAATAAGCAACCTCAGAGCAGCCACTCAAAAGATCCACTCGTGTATTTTTAGAAAATGATCATTTAAAAGTCACTCTAAGATAAATCCCATCAAATTTGATGGACACTTTTTCAGCTTCCTCAACTAGGGGATAAGGATGAAGTGCTTGGAAGCAGATGCCCCTTTATGTTCATTAGATCTTTGTTGATCATGGTTATTAAAAGCATTCTAGATACAGTTGAAATTGTGAATTTTACTACCAATCTTGGTGAAAACATGGATTTGCCCACAACCCAAATGGATTTAGATGTTTTTCATATATCAAGTTTACATCATACATCTATTTTAATATGCATTATGACCTATTTCATTTTAAACACATCAGCATTTTAAGCACAGTAATAAATAAAATGCAGTAATAAACAGAGACAGAAAAACAAAATGTGTATGAGGTTTTAAAACATTTTCATTAAGTAAGGCATTTGCCTGGTTAACTGACAGAATAGGTCATTTGAATACAGGCACAGAACTGCCCATTTTAGCTGTCCAAACTACAAGTTTTCTGAACTAACAGACTGGAGCAAGTATACTGTCTTTAAGACACTTTCGGGTCCCCCAGAACATACACATCCATTATATTCAGTGAATCTTTGAACTGTGGCCTCATTCAACTTCAGTCAGAAGGCAGGTTGAATTTGATCTAGATTTGAGACAAGCAATTGACCTGGGGGCTTAGTTGAATTGGGGACAGAGATGGGACCCATAAAATCAGGCAGAAGAAGCTTCTATTCATGAATCTTGTAATTAATCCAGTGGGGCCTATTTCAAGCAATCAGTAAAGAAACAAGAATACAATTCTTCTGAATTTGCATTTCTGGAAAGGAATTCCTTTTTTATATTTGCTGACTACCAAGAAATGGTGCAAATTTTGTCTCAGAAATCTGTGACACTTTTGAGAAAGAAAATGCACATACCTTACAAAATGGCTATATCTTTAATCAAGATAACATATATTACTTGCTATAAAAGTATGTAGCAATAGGTATGTGCACATTTTTTTAAATGTATATAAAATCATGTGCTTCATTGCACAGAAACATAATTTAGTGAAAATGTTGGTGGGAAAGAGAAACTAGAAGTCTAGACAGGTTTTAGCATCCCTAGAACAAGGGAGTGGCAGATACATAACTAGAAGTGATAACTAGTTTTAGCTTCTTCCTGATAGTGCTATTTCAAGTCATTCTCCACAAAAATATACTAACCTTCAGCAGATGAAGTTCCACAGCCCTCGAGATTTAAAAGAATGTCATCATCACCATCATCTTTCTCTCCTCCCAGCAGCATCCACCTCTCCAAATTATCACTTTCAGAAGGGATACTTGTCACATCATCTGCATCCTCATCATTAGAGCTGTCTTCTATTACTAAGATCTTATGAATCATATGGATACCATCACGGTGAACAGAGATGGCCTTTTGATTAGACTTGTTTTTCCTTCTCGGAGTAGCTTGTTTCTTTGAATTCTGGGTGTCATGTAGGTGGTCTGTAGTTGGTTTTGATGAGATGGGCTCAGAAAAATTAGATGATTCTGCTGATGTTGTTGGGTTCTGGAGTTTGCTTTTGTAAATGCTGTCTTCATCAGGGGTATCCGACAAGATGATGACATCTGGGCTATCTGAAGTATGAATTTCACTATCTGAAATAACAATAAAGTTGCTTTTCTGATCATGTTTACGTACTGAGTTCTGCTTTGTAACAGGTCTGGTTTTGTTAGTTTCTTCTTGCCCATTGGCATCCTCAAGGGCTTGTGCATAATGGACTTGACTGTAAAGATGAAATTCCACTTCACTATCAATACTTCCTTCACTAGAAGAATCTTCACAGTAGAGATCATCTTCAATCGCTTCTATATCATCATATTCTCCAAACATCATGGAAAATATTTTGCTTCTACAAACCTAAAACAATAATGAAAGTGTCATTAACATTCATAAAAACAACCCTTAAAATGTACAGATCCATCTATTTTAACAATGTTTAAATCAAAATGGCCTACAGCCTAACTTTAATCCTAACTCAAACGCAAAGTGGCAGGAGTGGTTTCGGATGAGGAGCATGGCTTGAAGCCAGCTGAACAGGCCCTAAGCCATCTGAACTAAACTGATGCTGATGGATTTCAGAGATCAGCCAGCTGAGAGATCCACTGGCGCAAGAGCTGAGATTGGCCAGTTAAAAGCCAAAAGAGGGAAAAGAAGGGCAGGAGCTGAGTTATGTCACATCTAAATCTGATTCAGCTCAGAGCCACCGCCCTTGTGCCAGCACAAAATTAGGTCAAGGTTTGGGTTGAACTAAGTAACTTCCGAGAAATAGAAACCAATGGAAGCTCCTTGAAATAAAATTCCTCAGTCCCAACCTGTCAACCAGAACCAAAGTTATTCTGACAGGATTGAGGTTTGAATATTGCACAGCTTCAACTGGTCTAATGTCAACTCAGTCAGCTCTTGGCTACTTACCGAGCAAAGATTGTACTGTAAGCTTTTGCTCAGGGCTAACAGTCTTGATTACATAGCAATAATGCTCAAAAATATTCAGCTGACACCTGTAGTCTCCTCACATGAATATTTCAGGACCTGTATCTAACCTGAAGACTTACAAAAGGATTCCCTGTATGATTGTTTGAATTTATTAAAAGAAAAATTCACATACACATACCTGACATCTATAACCAGGTTCAAAATAAAAGATTCAAATGAAATTTCCTACAGCCCCCTCATTATTCTGTAGCCAAGACTAGAAAGTTGTGAAGAATTATGCCATCACATCCAATATTCCTAAAGAAAATAGGTAATATTTTAATTTCATACCAACACAGTATTTTGAAGCTTTTAGAGAACCATAAAGACAAACGTATCACTGAAGCGTGTTCAATCATATGCAGCTAAAGATTACAGGTATAATCCAATACTTCCTCTCAATACCTACATAGAAAGTGCTTTTGAACACATACAAACAGGATGCCATCTCCATATATCATAGAATGTCACTCCAAAAGACCCACGCAATCTGCCACAAAAGACTAAGTGACCACTACAAATGATAGCTTAAGTACATGTAAACCCTTTTTCCTGACATAGAAGTATTTGTTTTTAGTGTGGGGGTTTTGTTTGTTTGTTCACCCTCATAAAGTTTCCCTAGCCACAACTTTTTTTCATGAAAATCTGCAGCTCATTTTTTAAAAAACTATTCCAGATATCCTAAATCATCTATTTACATATAATACCTGCCTTTATTGTTAAAAGGTAAATAAAACCAGGCAGAATCTAGTAATAGAATTAATTTCAATTTAGAATTAATCCAAATTTAATTCAGGGCACATTTCTGGGCATGTAGGAAAGCAGTCTAAACATCAAATAAACAGTGTAAAAGTTTCAACAATTTCTACTTTGAGCACTTTTAATTTATGGTGGTAAAAATAAGCAGGCAATAATAAACCGGCCTTTTTGTTAAGATATAAAAATATATTATTTTTTCCTCTTTCAGTTCACCAAAAAACCCTTATGCTAAATTTTAGAGTGATTCTTTCTTAGAACACAGGATCACAGGTATAATTAACATGTCATGCAGTAATTATTACCAACTAAAAGTATCCCTTAGGAAACCAGATAGTGACAGATTTCCTGCTTGGCAGTATATGCTCCAGAGTTAAAAGGAAATCCAGTTGGGCCTATTGAAAGGCTAGTCACTGTGAGCTGTCCACTAGTGGCAATAGACTAATCTTCATATATTTCAACCATAAATCCTGATTAAAACAGGAAACTATAGTAGTGATGTGCACTATGTTTGGACCTAAATCATAATATCTGAAAACAGAACGAGGAGGGGAGAGCTGCAAAGCCCGGCAAAACAGATTAAGGGAGCCAGATTTTATCAGTTCCTGGAGAAGAAGGAGTTAAGTCTGTAATACACCTGAGACAGGGATCTGCCACGTCTTTTCTCCCTCCATTTTCCTAGGCTCTCTCCCCAGAGAGGGCCCTGCTGGGAACTCACTTTCCCAGCAGCACTTGCATAGGGTGGGCATTGAAAGGTCTCTGAGATCCTCTCAGAGCATGATGGGAGTTGAAGTTTTTTTCTCTCTCACCGTTTCTCAGCCTATACTGAAAAGGCCTGGTTTTGTCCATGCTCTAAGTGGCTGAGAATGGACACAACCGGCCACTACAATTCCCAGAACCCTCTCTTGCAGTTTGTCTTATTTTATTTTAAAAAATGTTATGGTTATAACTTAAAATAATTCTAAAAAATCAGTAGATTGGCAAATTGTTCTGAAACTTGGCAGGCCTACAGTTGTAAATGGGGTCTAAAACTTAAGTAGTATTCATGCAGATAGGCCTTAAAATGACAGAGGAATTGGGCTTTTTAAATTTCCCACTGTAGCTAAGGGCCAAATCTTTGTCAAATGTAAACGGCAACATTCCTCCCAATTCGAGTAACTTCCCAGTAAACAGGAGGGGTTAGCTTACAATGGACTCCAAAACGGCATGCCTTTTAGCCAAATTGCACACCTCTAATGTGCACCTGTCAATGGCATCAGCCAAACTACTTAGACATGACTACTATCAATCATCTCAACACAGAACTAAGGAAATCTAAACATCTTATTTTATTTATTTATACTTCGCCTTACTCTACCCCAAAGGTGACTCAAGGCAGCTTATATAGATGCAATTATTCAATGCCTTAAAACACATACAATTCCAAAAAATTAAAATTAAATTAGATTAAAATAAAAATATATTGAATATTTTAAAACATTACATTCCATATTAAAATCACGCCATCCATAGACATAGTCCAAACCATTCCATAGTCATTCCATATATTCCAAATCTGTTAACTGCACTGCACTATTCTCTGAAGGCCTGATCCCACAGCCAAATTTTTATCTTTCTTCTGAAGGCTAGGAGGGAGGGGTGAGTAGGAGATATGTGTGAATTGTTTTCCATCTTGTTATTTTTACTTATCAACTAATTTTTTTCTGAATAATTATGCAATGATGCAGGCCACTAACCCAGGGGCCTGCAGATGCCCAAAATGATATTCATAAAATAGAAAACACGTGGCTCCCAAATGCTGTAGAATTCCAACTCCAACAAGCTATAGGTAGCTTAGCCAGTGATGAAGAAGACTGTAGTCTGATCAGAGATGATGGGCCTCATAATTCCACCCTGTCATAAAACCCGAAAGTTCATAAAATAGAGAATACGGTTAAACACCATTAATCATTACCATTTTCACTGCAAATATATGGCACTCGACACAAATATGCAAGTCTACAAATGTATGCTTTTTAATTTGGAGAGCTAAATAAGAGGAGAGTCTGTGTTATATGCTTATCCCATTAATACAGACTGGCTTCAAATGTAAAAGAGACAAAGGTAAGAAACAGGTGAGATAAAGCTACACAACATTTCTAGCTCACAAGCTAACATCTGAAAATCATTCACACTACCAATCCTAGCTGAAGACAGAGAAGGATGAGAATGTGAGCAATTCAAAACAGAGAAGAAAGCAGTAACTTCCTTAAAATCTGGAAAACAGGTTGGGTTCCCATCCATAAATACTGCCAAATAACACCCACTTAATTTTGTTGGAATTCTAAAGATTCTAATTTTTTAGCATTATAATTTCACAAAAATCAAACCTATAGAGCCAGAGTATATCTAGGCAGCAGAGATAATAAAGCTAAGAAAAACAATGGCTTTATCAACTTGTTTATCAGTGATTTGGGGGGGGGGCTAAGAGAGTTCTCTAGGGCCCCTTCCACACAGCTGAATAAAATCCCACATTATCTGCTTTGAACTGAAATATATTGCAGTGTGGACTCAGATAACCCAGTTCAAAGCAGATATTGCAGGATTTTCTGCCTTGATATTCTAGGTTATATGGCTGTGTGGAAGATCCCTAAGAGGGTTCTTTTTTAACAATGAAAAACAGTATGTGCAAAGCACAAAACTAAATTCGGGAGATGTTAAAAAGGTAGTCCCCTGACATTAAGTCCAGTCATGTCTGACTCTGGGGTGTGGTGCTCATCTCCAATTCTAAGCCGAAGAGCCAGCGTTGTCCGTAGACACCTCCAAGGTCATGTGGCCGGCATGACTGCATGGAGCGCCGTTACCTTCCCGCCGGAGCGGTACCTATTGATCTACTCACATTTGCATGTTTTCGAACTGCTAGGTTGGCAGAAGCTAGGGCTGACAGCAGAAGCTCACGCAGCTCCCCGGAATCGAACCTGCGACCTTTCGATCAACAAGCTCAGCAGCTCAGTGCTTTAACCCACTGCGCCACCAGGGGGCCCCACTAAAAAAAGTGTAATACTAAATAATATTATATTTGGCTATGACAGTCTTTTAGACTGTAGGCCTTTAAAGGGGGCATGTTCTATACTTTTCTTTTTGGTAGAACACCTAGGGATTTGAGACACCTTTTCAAATTTATCTCACAGACATTTTTCAAATCATGCCCCTCTAATAGAAAGCAGTTTTCACATTTATAACATATAAAACTCATAAACCACAACATCGTCAGTAGCCAGGCGCTGACTTCCCTATCTTAAGTAAAGCCTGAAGGACCTGACACTGTAACAGCAGATGGCTTGCCATTCAAAAAAAGAGCACAATGCATGCTGGGAGGGACTTAATTTTCCACACGTTGGGTTCATTCATATAACTCTGAGCTTGTGAGGTATTTCTCACAAGAAATGCCTTAATAACCACCACTTCATACAAAGCAGATGATAAAGAAGTAGTTATTGACTCAAGGCTATCAACCCAAGCCATATTGCTCTGCTATACAGATGGCAAGACAGAACAGCCATAGGCCATTTCCAGATAGACCCAGTTGGACCACTGTGATCCTTGAACTGGTAACTTGGATTTCTGCAAAACATTTCATGTGGGGCTCC